CCAAAGACCAAAGAAAATATAAAACATACAGAACTTGACGATAGGTTGACGCATCCATTGAACTTCAACTGACACAACTCGAAACTTTTGCAGAACCTATGCCATGTATATGATGAACGAAAAGACCAACGATCGAGGATGCATAGAAAATGAATCCAATGACCCGATATACTACTAAATAAACCCATGAGGAACTACATATACCAACTCTGAAACTAATCGACCGATCACCAATTGCCCATCCAAGACTATAAATATCAAGCTATACATCAAGCTGACAAATCTCTCAACAATCGATATTCAACCTGAGCGACCCAAAAGCCTTTGAAGCTATTCCTCGATGATTTCGAAAGGAGCCACTGGCTACAACGAGCCCCTTGTCCAAAAGCTTCTTTCCGCGAAGACGACTCTTGGATTCCTGTCCACATATATTTGATGGAAACTTGTTCTGCACTCCTGCCTTGCCTAAATCCTGAACCAATGTTTCGCATACCCGAACCACAATTCCCTATGACCTATTATGAACAAAACATGTAAGTTCCCCAATTATTAACTAAATACACGAATCAAGAACTAAAATGCAATGAAAAGATGGGATAGACGTGCAAAATAGGTGCATAAACACATCTATCATTATTGATGAATTTTTCAGTATATTGAACTTAAAGAAAAGCCAAAGGTTATTTAAGGGCCCCATAATTACATTTTTAGATCTATTTCTAGAAATTAATGAAAATAACAATCCATAATTCCATTTTCAGCTGAAGAAATTGGCTAGGCGTTTATTGAGGAACCAAAAATCTAGATCTTTCAAAGGGAAAGTTTGTAAAATTGAGGACAATTCAAAGGACTTATTGGGGTCCACCTCAACATTCAAGATGGTGACGATTGGGACTTAACAGTTGTACAAGATTTTGAAGCTATGATGTCACACAGAGATAGGCCTAAGCGGATTAGTAAAGTGATATTTGGTATAAATATGAAGTATTTGATTTTGTGAAGATTTTGTATGAAATGGATTATTATCTAAAGGCTTTAGAATTTTTAGTTGCAAGTGATATTTGGTATAAAAAATGAAGTATTTGATTTTGTGGAGATTTTGTATGAAAGAGATAATTATCCAAAGGTTTTAGAATTTTTAGTTGCTCTCCAAAAGGGTTGTATCATTAAGCGAGTAAGGTTTTTTTTTCTCGTTTTAAAATATTGGATAAAATTTTCATATTTAATTAATCAAATTAACTTGTTACTAAATATGTTGCACATGATCCAAAGCTATGCTTGAAAACCACATTTTAAGAACAAAACCAAAGATAGACATATTCTCATGTACTTGACAGATTTCCTATATTTGTAGTTTTAAAGATTCACAATCTTTGCAATTAAATGTTTGTTTCACAATTTAGTTTTCATAGTTTGAATGTTGTTGATTTTAGTGCATTCTTTCTACATGATGTAGGAGTTAGATCCAATTTTGGAAGGTGGTGTTTCCAATATGGCTTTGTCTTCTTAGTCGCGTGAATAATGTCGGTGTCGAGTATCGAACGAATTTGGATTTGTCTCCATTGGGCACATATTTGTAGTTTAGCATATAATAAGTATATTTTTTTGATGTTCTTTTGGTTAGTTGTTATACCAGGTATGCGATTTTCATACCCAAACGAAGCAAAGAGATGAAGGGAGGAGATCATATTTAAACTCTTGTCGAGACAGTATGCACTAAGGGTTAGTCAATGCGGATGAAGTTTCAGATTTCAGTTCTGAGTTGGTTTGGTTGATATTATGTAATTGATAAACACGTATATGTTACGTACATAAATTTTGATGAATATGTGGTTATATAACAGATTTGAGGTTTAGTCATGCAAAAGAATTTGTGGGAACTTATCTACTCGAAATGAGAATACACATTTTTTTAAGAAAATATTCCAAGTGTCTTATATAATTTTCTTTAGGGTCTGAAACAAGACCTTACCATGGATACTTTACAATATATATATATATATATATATATATATATATATATATATATATATATATATATATATATATATATATATATATATATATATAGAGAGAGAGAGAGAGAGAGAGAGAGAGAAGTAATTTACATATATCATTTGCTCCATATGTATTTTGGTCTAACTTTTGAAAAATTGATTTGAGTGGTCCTTGACTCCTTGTGGTTTCAAAATTTTGCATTGTGAGACTATTGCTCCATTATGTGCATGTGAATCGACAAAAATGCTCCTACTTTTGTATTTTTTGTCCTTATTATTATGTTTATTTTAATTAAGAGATAGCCCCAACCATCACTACCGTATGAATTATATAACTATAACTGGATGGATTTGTCATAATACAATATATTAATAGGGACACATGGAAGAATGTACAAAATCGATCAATCCGTTTACCGAACGGGTGTTACGCTAATAATGTATAAACCCATTAACATTATAACGGTTTCACTATGTACCAACTATAATAAATTTTTATGAAATAATAAAATAAAATTACTAGTGTAAGTTATGTTATCTATTATTTGCATCATAATAGAATGATGGTTTTGTTTCCTGTTTTTCCATTAGCAATGTAATAATGTAAAACAATATTAATCACTTAATTAACAAAATAAAAGAGGATTAAATGTTAAAATCACTACGATATAATTCCTCAAACGTTTCTTGATCCGTTAGACAGCGTTTGGTAAGTGGGAATTGACGGGACATAACAAAACAAAACTCTTTAAGATTACATTCGACATACAGAACAAGAACAAAATCAAAATTTGATCTGGCCAATGGAACTATTTAGTTAAATTTTAGTCCTGAACTCTATGGAACAAAACATAATTAACAAAAGGACCCCAACTATTTCGTGTCTCTTGTCTTTCTCATTTCTTTCCTCTTTCGTCAAGGGATTCAAACTTAATAAAAGAGGATGTGTAGTTGTTCCCATCATTCAATACAAAAAATGATTTTGACAAAAATAAAATAAAATCCTTAGCACTCTAACTCAGTTATTGAAAACAAAATCCATCATTTTAAATTTATTTTAATAAAAAAGATTTTTTTTGGTTTTCTTCGTCATTCTCGGACTGTAGTTTTTTTTTTTTTTAATAATAATTGCAGTAATAAAAGTTTCTTTGATTGCACTAAATGGTTGCGCTAGATTTGTAAAAATAAAAAATTTGGGATTGGTATTATCATTTCTACCTTCTGTCTTATTCAGTAAAACAAAACTCTGTGGATAATTTCAATGAGGGAAAATGACTTATAAGGGTAAGAAAGTTTCAGAAATGTTCAAAAAATACCATCTAAGTTTTCGTTGTGCAAAATATACCATCCAAATAACGTTATTGTATAAAAAACACCAAAAAAATATATCGTTTGTTCAAATGTTACCTATGGTAACCGGTTCTTGTAGGTTACTTGATGAGTAGGATTAAAAAATTGGTGATGTGGCTTAAAATTAATGACATGGCATTTATATGCTTTTCTTTAAAACGAATTAGGGCTTTTGCATAATAAGGGACGAGCACTCCTGGGTTTCTCTCCTGCATCGTCTCCTTCGTCAACTACAGTGATGGCTTCATCTTGTTCTGCCAAATCCATAATCTCATCCTCAAGCTCTAACGTTTCAAAGACAAATAAGATGGTTGATGATTCATACCCTTGTGGTTGTGGGTTCCCATCGCAAATCTGGACTTCAACCACTAAGAAGAATCCTGGGAAAATTTTTAGGGTTTGTCCCAACCGACTGGTGAGTTATTATACCGTTTGTATCCATACTCCCTTAGTTAATGTCGTTTTCCCTCTTTGGATGGTTAATTTTTTTTCTGCATATGAAGGATCCAAACACACCAAATTGTTCTCTTTGGAAATGGGTTGATGACGATGAAGGACTAAGAAACACGAATAAGAGAGATGAAACAGAAATAAAAGTAGATTCCATTGAAGTGAGGATATCAATTTTGGAAAAAGATTTCAATGAGCACAAAGGGATGGCAAAGAAGGAATATATTAGTTTAAGTAAGGAATTGGCACAAATGAGTAGGAAATTACGATTTCAGAAGTGGTTCATAATCATGATTTTTGTTATGTTTTTAGTGAAATTAATGATGTAGTATATATGTTTAAATCTTTGCAATTTACTTCTTTTAGTATGTATGGTAAGTTGTAGTTTCACTTTGATTTCCCTTTTAACAATGTTTCGAAGAAATATCAATGTACTTGTTGTAGTTTGACTTTGCTTTTAACAATGTTTAGAAGAAATATCATTGTCCTTTTAGTATATAATGGTTGTTTGTATGGAGGGTATAACTGTCATCAAGCCATTATAATGGAGGAGAAATAGCAATGTACTTTTATTCAATGATATAGAACCGTATGCAGCCCCTCACACATGGCTGCTATAACAGGGGTATTTTGGTCATTAATTTCGAAACAGGAGAAATAGCAATGTACTAGTAATCTTCTTTTTAAAGTATCTCTATCTGATAGAGTATTATCTTAAAGTAATATTACTCTATAGTCTCACTTGAATCACTATTTTTAAAACCAACAAAACAGTATATGGACAATTTGGTAAAAAAACCATAAAACAAAATATAAAACAATAGATGTACAAACAATTTAAAGGGCATAAATAGTAAGTGATATTCATTCAAAACATGTGCATCCGACACTAAATGTTGGTAAGTGTGCACATGACACCAAAAGAGGAGCCCTTACAATACTTAATTGTTTTAAGTGTGCACTAAGCACCAAAAGATGTGCCATTTCATAGTTTTTGGCATAATTTAAACAAAAGCAAATATCCTAGATTAAGGTGACTGGATTTTCAATACTTGACCCACTTCCATATTTTGTAACCACCTTTCTCATCAACTTAAGCTTTGTGATCCTCTGCGAAGGACCACCCTTTCTCATATTACACTTTTTAGCAACAAATCGTACATGTTGAGCAACTACATGTTCAGCTGCTTGCTCCTCATTTGGTTATTCATCAGCCACCATTTGTTCAACAACTTCCTCAGCAACCACTTGTTCTTCAACCCCAACCTCCTCAGCAGCCACTTCTTCTTCAACCCTAACCTCTTCTGCAGCCACTTCTTCTTCAACCCCAACCTCCTCAGCAGCCACTTCTTCTTCAGCCCTAACCTCTTCAGCAACCACTTCTTCTTCACCCCCAACCTCCTCAGGTAGTTGTTCATCTGTAAAGCAAAAAAATTATTAGTTTCAAAATCTTAATAAAGAAAGACTGTAATTAGGAATCAAACCTTGTTTCAGCAATGGACATCGTCTCCTGTTGTGACCTTCTTGATGACAATTACCACATTTTGGAATGCCCCCTTCTTGCTAACAGTATGTTTTCCTTCTTTTTCTGTAGGGCATTTCTTTCTGTTCACTTTTGGTCTCCCGGGCATTCTCCTACGCCTTGGTGGCAAGATGCTTTGAAGACCTGTTTCCGGCCACATGTCAGCTCCATTGGTTGGTTTCATGTTATATCTATAGCAACTTCCAAACATATTCGTTGTGAACCAAACTGCAACATACTCCTCTGCATTCCCATTCAAAAACAAGATTGGAGCAATACCATGTACACATGGTATACCAGTCAACTGCCATGCTCTGCACCCACAGGTTCTTTGGTCCAAGTCAACTGCATAAACCTCATGTAATTGTCTCACTTCATATATTCGCGGACCACTTGGAGTAACATCCCAATACCTATGATGAAATGGTATAAAGTAAGTAATTTCAAATAAAAAAAGTTGCATTCCAAGTAAGTATTATACCTCTGTTGTTCTTTAAATTTCTCAATCCTCCTTCTAATGGAAGGACATATATCCAAGTTCCATTTTTGCCCCTTCCCTTTTTGTTTGTACATCCTCTCCATCACGTACACTCTGACTTCTTCCAACATTGATATAATAGGTTTTTTCCTGGCCTCTACAATTGCTGCATTAAAAGATTCTGATATTCCATTTTCCACAGCATCACAACACCTATCAAGCTCAAAAAATGCCTTGCACCATGTCTTTGGGTCTCTTTCCATTAGGTGATCATAAGCATGTGTGGACATTGCATTGATTTCCCTCATATAAGATCGGAAAGCTGACTCGGTTGTGGACTTTGCAGCTCTCCAGAATAACTTCCTAAACTCAACACCTGTGTATTTCTTCTTAAAGTTAGCATAGATGTGTCTAGCACATTGCCTATGCTCACATGCTGGTGCTCTTTCTTTAACAGCTTCTACCAAACCCTGCCAGATGAAAATATTAACATTAAATATAAAATAACATATAAATAAACATATAAAGCACTAATTATGTATTTATAAGAACAAACCTTATGCTGGTCAGAAATAATGGTAAGACCTCTGCCGTCTCCCATCCCAATGTCCTCAAGTAGCAAATCTAAGAACCATTTCCAGGTTTCTTTATTTTCTACTGACACTACAGCCCATGCCAGCGGGTACATTTGGTTGTTGGAGTCCCTACCAACAGCTGCTAATAGCTCACCTATACAAATACCCTTCAAAAAACATCCATCAACACCAATCACCCTCCTGCATCCTTCAATCCATCCATCTTTCACACCCTTCAGGCAAACATACATTCTTTTAAAGTAAACTGTAGAATCGGGCATAGGATTCACTTCTATTGAGACTGTTGATCCCGGATTAGACCTCAATAACTCCGCTCCATAATCCCACAACTTTTCATAGTGTCCCACCAAGCTACCTGAAATTTCATCTAGTGCAAAACTCTTGGCATTTCTACATTGCCCAACACTTACATGCAAACCAAAATTTTTCTTAACTAATGCTACCATGTTCCTGTAGCTGATGCGGGGCTTTTCCAAAATGTCATTGGTTAACATTTTACCAATCCACATGTATGTCACAATAGACCCCAAATTAACTTGTCTGCAACAGTTATGTTCGTCAATTAGCGATTTGATCTGGAATGAATCTTCACTACTCATTGGAGTAGCCCATAGTCTAAAAGGGCAAGCTGCCTTCCCTTCTTTATTTTTACAGCACCTCACTAACAATCTAGTTGAGTCATTTTTTTCGTACCACAATGCATAACCTTTAAAGACAACATAATTTTTTAACATTTGCTTGAGTTCATATCTGTCAGAGAATCTCATGCCTAATACAGGTACCATTGTGTCCCATTTCTGGTCGGGATCATGAATAGGAAAGTAGTGGACCTCATCATCAACTTCCTCAGCTATCCCTCCTTCTAGAATAAGATTTTTCTTGGATAAAAAAGGATCAACAGATTTAGGAATTTCTATAACCTCATCATTAACTTCATGGTCTACCGATATATCATCTGACATCACCGAGTCCACATCATCAGAACATGGATCACTATCACCGTACACTCCATCTTCGGCTATCTCTTCTTCAATCCATTGCATAAGTGGCTCGTGGTCGTGATCAATGTAGATACTGATTCCTCTCCCATTTTTATATCCAGCATCAAGAAACCTCACATAATCATCTTCATCTCTCAGCTCCCTCAACCCATCTACTATAGCCCGATTTGGAAGAAAGTAGTACATATCACGACACATACCCTTCGTCAAATTACGGATGTAGATAATGAAGTCCTTGAACTCCATGTTTTGTAAGTCTACCTCTGTGACAGAAGTCTTATCAGGATTGAAGTACATCAAGGGTTTAGGAACAAACACTCCTTTATGGAAAACATCTATACTCAATGAACCATCTGTTGAGAACGACATTCTTGTTTTAACGGCCAAAGTCAACTACAAAAGTCATTGTTAATGATTAGCAAGTCACATAATCACATAAGATAAATAAAGGTTGAACATATGACTAATTAAAACAATAAAATTTCCAAGAACGTTCAACAAAGTTCAAAACTATGAGGATTGATTTAGGGTTTGTTACCCCTGATTTAGGGTCTGTTACCCCTGATTCAGGGTATGTTACCGATGAGAATAAGTGATGGTCTGATTTTTATCAATCAACGATGAGTCTAGAAACCTCCATTCTAAATCCAACGTTCGATTGATTTAGAGGGGTTGGGGTATCGAAGTCAGTGTTTGAAGCACAAAAAGAGACACAAAAAAAGAAAAATCGTTTGCTAAAAGAGGGAAATGTTAAGAGTATAACTTACATGAACATATCCGACTTCAGAATTTGTTGAAGGATATTTGATCGATCGAACCCTAGAAGAACCGCCTTCCCAATCTTCCTGTTGTTGACGAGAAGGGTAAAATCCACATATGACTATGTTAAATGATCGTATACTCCATGTCATTTCCTTTTTTCTTTTTATTTTTTTTAAACGGTTGAATAAGAGAGGTAACCTACACCTGCCGGTTACCATAGGTAACATTTGAACAAACGGTATATTTTCTTGGTGTTTTTTATACAATAGCGTTATTTGGATGGTATATTTTGCACAACGAAAACTTAGATGATATTTTTTGAACATTTCTGAAACTTTCTTACCCTTATAAGTCATTTTCCCTTTCAATGATGGTGTTTCTGAAAGTTCGATTTGCTAAAATACAGTAAAAACGTTTTTTTTATTGCACTAAAAATTTAATTACGATTGATGTTCCTCAAATTTTAATGTAATCTTGGGTTTTCTACATAACTGAATATTTCAAAGGAAATCTACTCTATTCATCCCACATTTCTCATATACCAAATGCTACCTTAACTAGCAACTCCTCCAGACTCAAAACTTATTATGTCATTAGAATGGTTAAAAATATTAAGAAAGATGTTCATCTATATAATATAATATCTGACCTAAAATTGTTGTAGCCAATCAAACACTAAACACAAGTGTCAGGAACGACTAGATACCACAGACAATATTTGGTTAATCGTCTATGTTGCTATAAGCCACTCAACAAAGTCTCGATTACAGCTTTATCGCCAGTTTGTTAGTCAAACCATAATCAGGGAGCATGTTCATCAACAAAATTATCATCGAAATAGCCACTTTCATATTGGGAACTAGGAAATACAGGATCAAAGAATTCTTCATCCCCTTCTTTGACCGAAGAATATAAGTCCAAACATAAAGATCGTCAGTCTGCAATTAGAGTTGGTTATCAAAAATGAGAAAATTCAATAAAATGGCAAATCATTTTTCAGTTGATCATAAAATATAAAAGGTTTTCTTGGAATATATACCTCTCCAATGTAAAGCTCTTGTTTAGGCGTGAGCATCAAATAAACACTTGACCTACCAGCGGTTTTAAAAGGGGGTTTACAGTTGGGAGAAATAAAATCACATCTCGGTGAATATTCTTCTTCTTCTGGTGGTTTGTTATCACCCCAAAGCTCATCCAAAAGCATATTCAGCAATTTATGACATATTTCCCAGACAACATTTTCTACATGCATCTGGAATTTCTCCATTGATTCTTTGCATGCTCGAGGATTATCATCATATGAGATATAGCCACCATCTTCAGGCTTCACATGACTGTGCATGCATGCAACGTAAAACACCATCTTAAATAGTGATCATGTGTAGAAAACCTAAAAACTAAAAACTCGCCTCCTCACCTTAAATGCAAATACGTGTCATATGACAATCTTCCTCTCCTACACTGTAAATCAGAAATTAATTAATTACAAACAGAATTCTCAAACCTTCATAGGGAAAAGTGGGTTAATTAACATAATGATTAAATCATTCTTGATTAAATTATGCTTAGTGATCAAGTTCTCAAGTTCTCAAGTTTCACATGTACACTCAATTCGCATTTATCTCCTATGGAAAATTAATGAAGATCCCTTATTGAATGGGGATTAGCTTGTGTTGCTATTTTTCTTGATATATAAGAGATGAACCACACATACACATAGGAGAAAATAATCCATAAAAATATAATGGATTTGAACACAAAAAGCAGTTTAATTAACAAGACTAATTAAGGGGACAAGTTGCAAGATTGAATGCAAACATATATATACCCGTCCATACAATGAGAAACGTATCCAGCTGGAAGTGGAACTTCCTCCACTATGCACTACAAAACAAAAAATTAATAAGGTAATTAATCCAACTCAAACATCATCTAATTGGAAAGGAACATCAACAAATTAAACTCAAATGAAGCTTATCTTTATGAACATCAACAAATTAAACTCAAGATATTTACAACTGTGAATCCTTTGCATGTCAGATCATCCAAAGTTTGATATAGATTCTGCATAAAAAACATAATAATAATAATTTTTTTACCTAAACATTATTATGTTATTATTTTTTTTGGTAGAGAGCACAAAGCATATATATAGAGAGAAATGAAATATAAACAATACCTCGAAATGGAAACCAGCTTTTGGAAAGCTATCTGAATGTATACCATATTCACCCGAAGGATTCAAAACAGTAGTATGCTCCTCAAGCATCAGGCATCAATCCTATGGCTTCATAAAAGTTCCCGACCTAAAGAGATTTAAAAATAAGATTGTGCATGGTTTCATGGAGTTCAATGCGATAGAAAAAGAAAAAGAAATTATAACATACCCTATGTAGGAAAACTTCCTGTGGAAACCTTGACTTCAACTCCAGTAACTTCTTAAAAAGTTTTCCTTCTTTTGTACTTCATAGAAGAAAGAAATGAAAAACGATTAAGCAAAGAAAGAAGTGACAACAAGATTATAATAAAAAAAGCATTTCTAACTTGTGGTGTATCTCAATACTTTTTAAGTGTTGATAAATAGCATGTCATTGTTCAATGTTCAACATGATTGGTTCAAGTTTCCATGTGGCTACCAAGTAAATTGCTAAGCCCCCAACCAAATTCACATATAGTAGGATTGTAGGAGGGATAAAAAAGGGAGATACTCAGAATTCACATAATTCACATATTTATTTATTGACCGGATCTTATTAGGAAGGTATATTTTCTGTTAGATGGTTTTACGAATTGTAAGTAATAATTTGAGTGAAGCTTTTGGTTCCTTGAATCATTTTATCATTATCTGTTCTTCCTATTCAATTCGTTGCTCTTAAATTGTTGTTTAAATTTGAAGTCTTGGAATAATGTGGGTAAACTATTGCATTGTAATTTGTAAACAATAAAAAAGATGCTTGCCTCTCATTTATTAAGTTGGAATCCAAACCAAGCAGATTAGAGAAGTTGAGTCTACTTATCAATTCTGTAGAAGATGTCTTTCTACATGACTTTAGATTCTGAAAGAATAAATACGACAGAAACATAACAAGTTAACAACTATAAATGCATCTTAGGAAAATAACAAAAAAAAAAAAAACATTTTGTCAACATAAAACAGTAAATCGGATTTCAAAATCTAGAATACCTCTATCCACCACACAATATCGGGATCATCTACAAACTCGATGATCTCATCCTCTGACTCCATTGATTTTTCGATTGCTTTTGTATTTGTTGTAAAAGTCTTTCTATCTTTCAAGAAAATAATCTCCATAGGATTCCTGGTAATTAATCTAAGGAAAAAAAAGCATAGAATGTTATGTATAATAAAGATTAATAAAGCAATACCAATTGTGAATTATCATAAATACGATAAATTTTCTTTTAATCATTTAGTAAGGAGTCAACTTAGAAACCCAATCTATTTTACTTAATTCGAATATCAAATGGCATTGCATTCCTACATTGCCGATACTAAGGAACATGCAAGTTTCATAACTCAAACTAAAAAAAATTACAGAGGGAGGTAGATAATTACGATGATGGTGGAGAAGAAATCAAATGATTCGAGGGAAGATGGGAACGTATGGGAAGACCAACGCCACCTGGGAAGATAACATTTTTGGCCATCAACAGGAACATTTTGCTACTAATTTGGTCGTATTGAGTGTTCGTTCGTTCTTCGGTTTGTGTTTATAGTTTGAGACCTTCGGTCAAGATTTATAATGGATCCCTGGTTTTAAGGAATTTACAAATTTCAAATTTGAATCTTCAAATCTTATCAAAATTCAACACTTATCAACGATTTTTAATCCCGATTTCCTGCATCTCGGCTCCTATCTCTCAGTTCTTGATAGCCTTAGATGGTTTGAATTGAGGTTATTATGGAATTCAACTTTGAAATGTTGAATACCCTTATCTCTCCCTGCCATGATTTTCTTCAATCTGCGACTTAATGGGAGCGACTTGAAGCTAATGTTACTCTGTAAGAGCTGATCAGAAATTATATTAGAGCACATTTCATCGAAGAGCCAACTATAGTTGAAGGAAACCATATCTTCCATATCTTCTCACGTATATTTCTTATTGTATTCCATATCCCTTCCATATATTCAGGGATTTTGTTGTAAACTTTTGTATATATACCCTTGTTATGTATTGAATAAAATCAAGCCTTTACAGCCAAATTTTCTTTGATTTTCTCATGGTATCAGAGCAGGATGAAATCTGTCCTTGAAAAACCCTAAAACCCCATCAATAGAAGCCATTCGTCATCATCCAACATGACCGGGAAAGGAGGCGACTCAACAAGCAACACCACACCGGTCATTGATCAAAACTCCCCTTATTACTTGCATGGATCTGACTATCCTCGAACCATGCATGTGAATGAAACTCTAAATGACAACAACTATGGTGACTGGTCTCAAGAAATCAGAAACTTTCTTTTCTCGAAGATTAAGATTGGCTTCATCAATGGAAGTCTCAAAAAACCAGATGATGAAGGCACACAACGGGACCTCTGGATGCGGTGTGATGCCATGATAAAAGGATGGCTCACCACTGCAATGGAAAAAGAGATACGGAACAACGTGAAGTATGCTGAGACGGCGAAAGAAATATGGGATGATCTGGAAGAACGATTCGGAGCAGCGAGTGCACCTCGAGCTTATGAATTAAAACGAGAATTGTCTCTCGTACGCCAAGAAAGATCATCAATCTCAACGTATTACACAAAATTACGTGGGTTGTGGGACGAGATGCAATCTGTGTCACCCATGCCAAAGTGTACCTGTGGCCATTGCAAATGTGAGATTGGCAAGAAACTCACAGAAACTAAAGAAAGAGAGCAGCTATATGAGTTCTTGATGGGACTGGACGACTCTTTCAGCACTGTTAAAACTCAAGTACTAACCATGAAACCCACACCCACCTTGGGGGCTGCATATCACATGGTCGCTGAAGATGAGAGACAAAGGCTGATATCAACTGGAAAAAGATACACTCAGGAGGCTACTGCCTTTCAAGCACAATCAAAATCAACAGAAGTTGGTGCCCTGCACGTACGTTCGCAAAATAGACGGGCAAACACAGAGGCCACTACTTATTG